ACACAAAAATCGACTCTGCTTTCCCACCAAAAGATAGTACACGATGGTTGCAAAGATTACTCATGTGACAAATGCGAGCTTAAATTTGGAGAAAAATCAAAATTAGCCAGACATCAAAAGACAGTCCACAAAGATCACAAAGGTCATATATGCGACAAGTGTGAGAAGAAGTTTGGACGAAAATGGATTTTGGTTCAGCATCAAAAGACTGTACACGATGGTCGAAAAGATTTTACATGTGACAGTTGTGAGAAAAAATTTGGGTGTAAATCCGCCTTGATCAGACACCAAAACACTTTCCATGAAGGTCGCAAAGATTACTCATGCGAAAAGTGTGAGAAGAAATTCGGACAAAAACATAATTTGCTAACCCACGTAAAGACAATACATGACGGTCGCAAAGATTTCTCATGCGACAAGTGCGAAAAGAAATTTACAGAAAAAAAGAGTTTGTTCGTACACGTAAAGACCATTCATGAGGGTCGTAAAGATTATGCATGTGACCAATGCGAAAAGAAATTTGGGATTCAAAGCAATTTGATAATACACCATAAAACAGTCCACGAAGGTCGGAAAGATTACGAATGCGACAAATGCGAGAAGAAATTTGGATACAAACCGCATTTGCACATTCACCAAAAAACAGTCCACGAGGGTCGTAAAGATTTCTCGTGTAGCAAGTGCGAAAAGAAATTTGGACAAAAATGGATTTTGGTTCAGCATCAAAAGACTGTCCACGACGGTCGACAGGATTTCGCATGTGACCATTGCGAAAAGAAATTTGGGCATAAACACAACTTGCGCGTTCACGAAAAAACGGTCCATGAAAGTCGCAAGGATTATGCATGCGACGAATGTGAGAAGAAATACGGACAAAAAATAGATTTGTTTCGGCACCAAAAGAGAGTACACATAGGTCAAAATGATAACGCGTGTGTGAGAAGAAATGATGAGTGACAATTTTAAATATGTATAGATACTTATATAGATGTTTCCCCACAATTTCTATAAAAATTTTTTCCCAATGATTGTGTCACCGAACCTCGGGACACTAATTATATTATTACAAGTTTGTTCGCTGAGTGCTAATCATTAATCTCTATGTCACCTTGTGTCTACTTAGTTCCTTTAGCTCTACATATTAAATTTAAATAAATTTACTGATGGACTCTAATTATTTCTACTAAGAATGACGCGACCGTTCGTAACATTACTTTTTTTTTACCTAAAATAGCAACGTGGAACATTTAAAATTATTTTCAACCAAAAAATTTTTTTCAAATTCTCCAAAGGTAGTAAAAACTCTAGTAATCGTTTTTCGATTCGACCGAAATAATCGCAAGGTTATTTTGGTATTATCATTGTGGATATTTATATTATTAGTCTTGTTATAAAAATAATAAGAAGAGCAAAAAAGTTCATGATTTATGGTTTATATTTAATAATAAGGATTTAATTACTCATTTTTTTTCTTTTTGTGAACTCGACGTTGTCTGATGAGAGTTTATTTAAAAGTACTCAAATTGTTTTAAATATAAGAAGTTGTGTAAACAGATTAATCGGTAACTTGCTTGTATACAATATGATCATAAATGATTTTGACATATCACCTTGTTACGCTGATCATATTTATTGTAAAACAAATTAATTTAACTGTAGCCTTTCTCGACGAAGCAAGCCACAACACCAAACAAATATATTTTACACAGTCATTTGAACAGAAAAATCCATCCGTAGAATTTAGGCTACAAAATGGATAAAAGTAAGAAAAAATTTGAGCAAGTTGTCTCTAGCAACAATTTAAGTGAACAAGATATGGTTTTTTCTGACGACAAACAACACGTTTGTGATATTTGCCAGGAGGAATTTACACAAGAATCAAGCATGATAGCACACCGAGACACAAATCACAATAATCAGAAAAATTATAAATGTGACAAGTGCGATGAGAAATTTGAGTTCCGATGTCATTTGATTAGGCACCAAATATTAGTACACAAAGGCCGCAACGATTTTGCATGTGACAGCTGTGAGAAGAAATTTGAAAATAAATCGAGTTTGTTTACGCATCAAAAATTTGTACACAAAAGTCGCGAAGATTTGACGTGCAAAAAATGCGAGAAGAAATTTAAAAATAAATCAACTTTACTCAAACACAATAAGATATTCCACGAAGTTTTTAGAGATTATTTGTGTGAAAGGTGCGCGAAGAGATTCGGAAGTAAATATACTTTGCTCTCACATATAAAAGCAGTTCATGAGGCTTGCAAAGATTACTTATGCGACAAGTGTGGAGAAAATTTTAGAAAAAAATCGAGTTTGCTCCTTCACCTAAAGACAGGACACAACGTCTTCAAAGATTACTTATGTGATCATTGCGGGAAGAAATTTGAAATTGAAAGAAATTTGCGCATGCACATAACAAAAGTCCATGAAGGTCGCCAAGATCACGCTTGTGACAAATGCGAGAAGAAATTCGGGCATAAACAGAACTTGCGCACTCACCAAAAAACAGTCCATGAGGGTCGCAGAGATTTTGTATGTGACAAATGCGAGCAGAAGTTTGAGAGTAAATCACATTTGTTCAAGCACCAAAAGACAGTCCACGAAAGTTGTAAAGATTACGTATGTGACAAGTGCCAGAAGAAATTTGGAAAAAAATCAAATTTGCTAATCCATTTAAAGATTGTACACGAAGGTCTCAAAGATTTTGCATGTAATAAGAGTGAAAAATTATATACACAAAGATCAGGTTTGTTTTACCACCAAAAGACAGTACACGAAGGACGAAGAGATTTTGCATGCGATAAGTGTGAGAAGAAATTTGGGGATGTGAGCAATTTCAGAAGACACCAAAGGACTCTACACGAAGGTCGAAGAGATTTTGCGTGCGACAGATGCGAGAAGAAATATGGACAAAAGGCACATTTGATTACGCACCAAAGGACAGTACACGACGGTTGCAAAGATTTTGCATGTGACAAGTGCCAAAAGAAATTAGGGAGTAAATCATATTTGTTCAAACATCAAAGGACAGTCCATGATGGTCGAAGAGATTTCGCGTGTGACAGATGTGAGAAGAAGTTTGGGTACAAATCATATTTGCTCATCCACCAAAAGACAACACACGAAGGTCGTAAAGATTTCGCATGTGATAAATGCGAGAAGAAATTTGGATATAAAAGTACTTTGCTTTTACACAAAAAATTATTTCACGAAGGTCGCAAAGATTATCCATGCGACAATTGCGAAAAGAAATTTGGAAGAAAATGGATTTTGGTTCAGCATCAAAAGACAGTGCATGAAGGTCGTGAAGATTACGCATGCGACAAGTGCGAGAAGAAATTTGGACAAAAAATGCAATTGATTAGGCACCTAAGAATAGTCCATGAAGGTCGTAAAGATTACGCATGCGACAAGTGCGAAAAGAAATTTACAGAAAAAAAGAGTTTGTTCGTACACGTAAAGACCATTCATGAGGGTCGTAAAGATTACGCATGTGATAAATGCGAAAAAAAATTTGGACAAAAAATACATTTGTTTCTCCACCAAAAAACCGTTCACGAAGGTCAGAAAGATTACGCGTGCGACAAATGTGAGAAAAAATTTGCACGAAAATCTTATTTGCTCTTACACCAAAAGACAGTGCACGAAGGATGCAAAGATTTGGCATGCGAGAAATGCGAGAAAATATTTATAAAAAAATCACATTTGCTTGTCCACCTAAAGACAGTACACGAAGGTCGTAAAGATTTTGCATGCGACAAGTGCAAAAAGAAGTTCGGGTGTAAACGGTATCTGCTAATCCACCAAAAAATAGTCCACGAAGGTCGCAAAGATTATGCATGCGACAATTGCGAGAAGAAATTCGGACGCAAATCGATTTTGATCATGCATCAAAAGGTAGTACACGAAGGTCGCAAAAATTTCGCATGTGACAAATGCCAGAAGAAGTTTGGAAAAAAATCGGATTTATTAAAGCACCAAAGGACGGTCCACGAAGGTCGTAAAGATTTTGCATGCGACAAGTGCGAAAAGAAGTTCGGGTGTAAACGGTATCTGCTAATCCACCAAAGGACGGTCCACGAAGGTCGCAAAGATTATGCATGCGACAATTGCGAGAAGAAATTCGGACGCAAATCGATTTTGATCGTGCATCAGATGAGAGTACACATAGGTAAAAATAATTATAGGTGCGAGAAAAAATGATAATTGACAATTGTAAATTTGCGTAGATACTTATTAGAAATGTTTCCCTAAAATTTCAATAAAAAATCATACGTTTTTACACTTAGTGCTAATCACTATCGCCGTGCCATTTTTTGGCTACTTGGTTCCTCTAGTTGTTCATACAACTACAGGCATGCAACAATCCAGGGTTTTTTCCATTTTTGCTTGGAACTGTAAATGGGGCGATCATTTAATTGGCTATTGGACTTTTGATAAACCTCACGAAATGACACGTTACCCCGAATCGATCAAACATGCGTTAGTGAAAGATTTTGATAAATTTATTGACGGACTCTAATTATATCTGCTAAGAGCTAACAATCAATTTTTATCTAAAAAAATACCAACGCGGAAACCAATTAATAATTCAATTTAAATCAAAACTTTTTTTAAAAATTCCTCCAAAATTAGTAAAATTTCTCGTAATCGTCTTCATATTGCGCGAGCGGCAAATGAAAGTTTGCGTGAGAGGCGGCACTTTTTCTAATCCGCCACTGCGGACAAACATTCAACTCCAGGTAGGTCGAAACTGACCCGAAAATTTTCAGATCCTAGTTTTCCCGGTTCAATCAATCATTTGCATGTAGTTAATCCAAATAGATCACATAAGGGGTATTCTCAATTGTTGTGTAAGCTCATTGAATTCTCACAAAAAAATCTTTGATCTGTTCAACATCTCGGTCAATACTTCTCTACCTCAAAGTCATCGCGAATGATTTTTTTCTCCTCGCGCGATCTTCGCAAAAAGTACGTAAAACGAATATAAATACTTTATTGAACTTGATGTAGACGCAGGGATCGACGATGGGCGGCGCGTATCCGTAGGGCGACTTGGAGCAGGCCCCGAGCTTGGCCAGATCGAAGTAGCACGGCTTGGTCGGCTCCTCCTGAATACTTCCACCACCAGCACTGTCCTTCTTCGCGGGGTCGCGCAGCACCCGCTCGTCGCACTCGAGCTCGTACTTATCCTTGGGCGCTTGGCGATACTCGCCGAGCATGTCCCTCACCGCGATTACGTAGCTCTTGGCCCTGCTCTTGCGCTGGGCCGTCGACTCGCTGACCAGGATCAGCGGCGGATTCGCACGGGCCATTATGTCGTCCGGCTTGACGCTGATGCCTGCGCGGGATACCGTGTGAATGATCCCACATATAGAAAAACAACGATCAACGTGTCGAGCTGGGGAATTACTCACTCGAGGACAGGTAATCGATCTCGTAGCCCGAGCCAAGCCAGAGCCTCGCCGTCGCCTTGTTGTAGGTGTAGACCGGGCCGTCGTACGACTGCACGTACTTGAGCGTCGCCCAGAGCTGCAGGAAGAAGGCGGCGAACAGCACGCCGTAGAAGCACAGGTAGAACAGGCCGACGTTGGCTGCTTTCGTCGTCGTCGTTGCAAAGGACATTTCGTGCGTAATCGATCGAGAAAGAGTGAAGAAAACGAAAAGAAAAGAAAAAAAATTTGCATCGTCGAGCGTCTCATACCCCACTCTCGGCCGGTGCGGTCGAGGAAAGCTCGCTGCTCGCGATCCCAGACGAAGACCTTGAAGCTCTCCCACCTGCCGAGCTCGGGCTTGGGCTTGCGGCTGCGATAGTACTCCGAGTCGTGTCTCAGCATCATTTTCCTGCGCTCTCGATAAAAAAACTTCCTCACTTAACCTATATATAACAAGATTTTGTTGATGAATTTTCGTGGTTAAATTTCGTGTTATTCTGGATCCACGTGATGTTTTATTTTGCCCAAAACGTTACGACGAAAGCTCCCGCACTCCGATCTCCGGCGACGGGGCAACGATCTCTGCTTTATTTACGAACTGTAATACGTACCGATTTTGCAGATGCGCGACTCTATAGTACTTTGCAGACGATCTCTACTTTATCGTTTACCGCCGTATTTGCAACGCGAAATAGAGAGAGGTCAGCACCTACCGGGATCGGCGAGCTCGATCAATTTTTAGGAAATAACACACGAAATTAACGAGACGATGCGTAATGATGAGTGTCTGGAAGTCGATGTTGACATAAGAGTTAAATTAAAAAAGTGTAATAACTCAATTCAACATTTTTGATAAGCTTGTTTGTCGATTAAAGAAAGAATACTTTTTTGTTGTTTCGATTGATTCATTTCGAATCTATTTCGAATTCGTTCTAATCGTGGGAACTCGAATCCATTATCAGGTGTTTATGATGTTTCAAATCGATTTCTAAAAGCAGCGTGAATCAAGTACGCCCGATTCGGGCTACCTCCTCGGTAATAATGCAGTCCTAGTCTCGAGTGTCGTTACGATTTTTTCACTTTTACGAGAAACGACGACGATAAGAAGGCAGCTTTACAACCGAATAATGTTGTTTTGACGCATGGATTTTCTCAAAATCGACCTCGAATCTCGACTCATATATATTTTTATTATCTTCGCAATTGCGCGATCCGGGCTTATCTATCGGACGCTCGAGTCTGTAATTTCGTCTACCGCGCGAGTCGTCTAGAAAATGAAATTTCGGAAAAATTAAGCGCAAAAAACGTTCTTCCCATCGAGAGCTTTATTTTTTTTTTCTCACACGCCGAATCGATCTTTGATCGATCGATTACCGAGTAATCAACGGGGGATCGTAGCTTTACTTTTTTTTTTTCGTTGTTTGTCCAATTAATTAAAAAGCTGTTCATGAAAAAAAAATCACGATTTATGCCGATGCACGCGCGACGGGTGTGCGCCGCGAGTAAATCAGAGATAAGAACCAAGCCGCTGGGTAATTAATAGACGACGAATACTCGTACCCATAAACCTCATTATCGCCTTGTTGCGGGGCCAGTTATTCAAACAGAAAAAAAAAAGATAAGTATTTGTACTCGAGTTGACGCATACGTCGAATCGAGATTTCACGTGTTTGTTCTCTCACGATTCTTTTCTTTCTTCCTCTTCGGGCGCGAAAACGAATCCAAAAAGTATTGTCCCTCCGCAAGTCGAGCTTTTCTCAGTCGCGCCCTCGCGACTTTATGCCGTTCTCTCTTTTATCGATGTATATAAACGCAGTACACAGAGAGAAAGCTATAGAGAGGGAAGGCGCACGCGCGAATCGTTAAGCTCGATTTGCAATGAAAACGCGCGCGAAATGCAGCTCTTTATTTACGTATACTTTTTCCACCCTTTGTTGCTTGCAAATTTTTTTCCTTTTCGTTTCGTAAATTCGAATTATTATTTTCCACAATATTTTTGATCGAGTAACGAAAGGGACAACGTCGTCAGCGTTCGCACGTGCATTTCGTCGATATAACGTTTCACGCCCTTATCCGCAAAAAAAAACACGCGCAGAGTGCGAACAGCTGTGCGTCACGTGCCTGTGTGTGTGTGTGTGTGTGTGTACGCGTTGTGTTGGGTCGTGCGTACATGGTCGACGAAAACAGAGTCATGCACACCGACTTGACGTTTTTTTTTTCTTCTTAGGTATTATTTACTGCTCCTGCCTCGGGCACTATAGGCACCCATATACTATTTCAGCAGAGTTTACTAATGCAGGCATAGCTCCCGCAGCGATATACCCTGGAGTTTCATACAGCTATTCAAGTTCGTTGATACTTTTCAACATTACGTATAGCAACGATGTAATAATCGCGGGTAGCAGCCGCAGAGCGAATCCGCCGCCGTGGGTGCGCGCACGAGAGCAGTAGTACATTACAGTCCAGCGCTCAGAGCAGCAGCACTGCGAGAAGAGAGAGAGCCTACAATATCGCACACACACATATACCTATACCTATATACAGCTCGACTCTGCGCCTATTAGAGCGAGTTTTCGCAGTAATAGCGCAGCAACGAACGCGACAAGAAGCTCTCGCTCGAGCCTCAGCAGCATACACATTACACATACGTATATAATATAAAGGAGTCGTGTGTCGTGCAGTCGAGTCGCGCGACCGAAAACACGAAATAACAGCAGCGTATATATAGCTTGATTCGAAGCCTATCGATAAAATACATAGCGCAGCACACACACACACACACTCGAGAGGAGCAACAACAACAATAATAATAATTGCTCGTGTGTGCATAGGCTGTGTATTAGCTCTCTGGTGCGCGCGTGCGTGTATGTGTCTCTCTCTCTCTCTCTCTCGTTTCTGCCCAGTGAGTGTGCGAGTGCGTGCGATCCCCGCCTGTGTCAGTGTGCGCGTGTGTATAATACATTGCAATAACTATATCGCGCCTATATATAGGCAAGTGGATATATAGAGCCCACTGCTCTCTTATATACAACACTCGGCTCCACAGTCAGCAGCAGCAGTTCTCTCACACTTTGGCTACACATACACACATCTACCTATATACTCATCGTCGTACACAGCAGCGATCGCGGGGCAGCAGCAGCAGCAGCAGCAGCTCTGAAAAGCGCGTGATACACATTATATACATATAGTAACACACACAGACATATACACGACAGAGAAGAGAATCACCACAGACCCATCGGTGTACTCTAACTCTTTTGGCACGCACAGTAGCAGTCGCATCACATTGTACAAATAGGCAGGCTATATAATACTAACGCACGCACACCACCACCACCACCAACCGCATCTTCGTGGAAAAACGGAAGAAAAAAAAGTTGCACGCGAGTTAAAGCAGCAAGTTTTGGAAGACGTGCGAGAGAAGAAGAAGTAAAAAAGAGTGCTAAAATATACAGTTTTTGAGCTCTCCGAGTTGCATCGATATAGATATATATATACCGTCGTCGTCGCGCAGACACACACACACATGCAAAAGTACGTGTGCGCGAGTCTTCATGTATAATTCCCAGCAAAAAGTGAGTAAGATTACGTTAATTTCTTTCTTTTCCTTTTTTTTCGTTGTAAAAAGTGGGTAGATTTAGATTCGGTGTGAATGCATCGTCGTCATCCACAAGTGCGAGTGCGTGCGTTATATACAGTGTGCGAATCTGTCGATCCCATATAGTCTCTCTCTCTTTCTCGAGTTGAGATCTGTACGTCTTTCTCTCTCTCTCTCTCTCTCTCTCTATCTTCGCAATTGTAAGCTGTGCTCGTGTGTGTGTGTGTGTGTGTGTGTTAGTGTGCAGAAAGAATCGTATCACGTACGTGCAGTAGATATATACATATATGCGCGCGAGAAACTCAGATGTGTGCTCTCATCTCTCTCCGTGTCCTGTACCAGTGTGTCTGTGTGTGTGTGTGTGTGTGTAATTCTGTTGTTGTCGCCTGTATACGATTGGCACATGTAGGATCATCGCGAGTGAGTGTGTGCGATAATACAGTGTCCACCGATGTGCCCATCGTCGGGTGATATTATTAGCAAGTGTATATGGCCTTTTAATTACGCAAACTAATAATCGCGCGTGTGCATGTGTGCGTGATACATGTCACGTCTATATATCGCACCATCGTGTATCAGCACACGAGTGTGATCGTCGCGCGAATATCAACGAAGAAAGCAGCAGTAGCAAGTATAAGCGTAGGGCCCTGCTGATGACGATGATGATGATGATCGCAAACGGAGCTCCTCCTATAATAATATCTCTCGCAGTTTTATAATACACATATATAGAGCAGTAGCAGTCGTCGTATATTTGCCTTTTGCCGAGGCAGCTATCCTATACCCAAGTGTGTGTGTGTTCGTGTGTGTTCGTGTGCACGCAGTTACAATGTATCGTCGTTTCGCTGCTCCGAGCGCAGAAAATACAGTAGTGTTAGTGCGTGGTAAGAACGTCTGCGTAAAATTTATTTTTTCCTTCTTTCTTTCGCGCGAAAGGTACCTTTATCGCGTTTAATTATTTCACGTCGCATCGTTGCGAAGAATTGAAAAAAAAATGGAGAAGAGTCAGTGTCAGTGATACGAGCGTCCATATATACCTTAACGCAGAGACGGTATATAGTGGCATTTTGCTCGTCGTCGTCGTCGTGTAGTGTGCGTGTGTTGCTAGTGGTGTGCCTCGTGCTGCTCCGGAGCTGCTTCTCGACGTTCTCCGATCCCCCCGCTTCGAGACGACAGAGACACGCACGTCCAAGACAACGACGACGAGTTTTTCCTCTTTTCCTTTTTGCGTATATATACGCGTAATACTCGCGCGAGATAGCGATCGGCAAATTTTCTATATGTATGAGTCGTGTGTGCGTATATAATATAAATAATATAAACGTAAGAGTCGCAACTTTGGTCAGGCGACGACGACTGCGGTGGCCTCTGATATACGAGTGCGATTATTCGTATAGACTTGTAACTCGCATATATAGAGCAACAATAATCGTGAATCTTGTCCGTGACTCTTGTCTCTCCGTGCGTGCGAGAGCGATTTTTCCCTCTCCGTATACACACACACGCGTATACTCGATGCTCGTTAATCTTGCGTTAATGTCCGATCGCCGTTACAGTCAGGTAAGAGAGACAATGAATTATAATATCATATCTCGCAATACGAGGGGGCGAGGCGCGCGGGCCCACTGTATAACCGAAAAAAAGGGGGGAAAAAACGAACGATACTCCAAAATTCGCGTGTCTTTTTTTTCTGCTAGCTACACTCGCACTACTATATTTACTAGTGCAATCTTCTTTGTTCTCTTCGGCTAGCCGCGCGCACGCGTTCGCCTCTCCGAATTCTACACTTTATGACTTATTTGTCGACCCGAAACGTCGATCGTCGTCAGCCGTATATTTACACGAAACGTTGCTCTGCTTCGAAAATTCCACTTGTTATGTGCTATATAGGGTACAGGTTGATTCCGATGTGCGTTTATAAGAAGAAAAATAAAGATGGTAAACTACGCAGACCTTCATGAATGTATGTACTTATATACAACTTGCGAGTGTCATGCGGCAAAGTTCAAATGTAGAAATGTCATCGTCGGCTCTATATATAATACATATGAATGATATAGGTGACGACGACTATAGGTGTCATCTGTTCGTATATATACATATAAGTAATGAAATATATCGAGCGAAAATAAGTCAAGTGGCTCGCTCCAAACGTGTATATGTACGTATACGCGCGAGTCTGTGTTACACGAGACGATACGTCAAACCCACGAAATCTCCGCGAGCCTTGATACACCCAACATTCGTTCTAAATTTTCTCCCTTTTACCCAATATATACCAAGGCTAGAAAACGAGCAGAGATCACACCTGACTGCAGTGCACCGCTCGCGAGTAAAAACGAACGTATGTATAGAGAGAAAAAAAAAAGATAGTCACGCGACTACGCGTGTCGTGTGTGTACGCATGGCGCACAAAATGACGTGTACGTATATATACGAGAGATAAAATATGCCATGCGCTGATACAGTACGCGATATAGCTCATGGAGCGAGAGGTGCAACGTTCGTGCGTCGTCTCGAGGTGAAAGCTAGACGGAGATAGCGAATGGAAAAAATGATGTATCTCAATTCGAATGGTACCAACGATATATGTATACATTTTCTGATTGTAATGTATATCCGTCGGCTAATGACGGATGTACAATTCAATCGATGTAACGAAAAGTAAATACGAGTCGTATCGTCGTCGCGTATTTAAAATAATGTTGCACTGCACCTGCGCGCAATCGTTTGTATGTGTGTGACACATAGCTTCTTCGTATAAAGCTTTATACATTATACGCGATGCACCCCCTGCGCGCCGCCTGTCTCTTTGGTAATCGATTATTAGGTTAAAGCGATTAAAAGCAAGTAAAAAAAAAGAGTGAGAGACATCAACGTTTACCCTCGGTCTAAACAACTCGTATTGTATATAAATTGTCTCTCACGGCGTTGGCGATGGAAGTAAAGGAGAGCGAATATACATAAGATCGCGCCCATTTACCATCGATTTTACGCTCGCTCGCGAGCCATTGTAAAAATCCTCGGAGTATACCCCGTGCCTATGTAGTACACACGTATAAATGTGAAATGTTACCATGATATAATGGACAGCACATAGCGGTACGAGCTCGTGCTTGACCCTCAGCCACCCCCCTCGCGTACATATACATATTATGTAGTTCACGTACGTCTGTCTATCTGCCTCGAGAAAGAAAGAGAATATCGTGTGTCAAATCTTGACCCCTTGTATATAGGGTTCCAATCTTCATTTTCCACGTCGTCGTCTTCTTCTTTTCTCTCTCATCTTTTTTTCCGAGTATTTATGCGAGTGATGGACGATATACATTTTCACGCTCATCACGCGCGCGCGCGTTTCGACGATCTTGTGCGGCGGCGACGGGGGCTGTATATAATACATCGTTGCGGAATTCCGGAACGATATCACGTCGTGTTCTCGTGGTTATATTATAGGCGCCTCCAGCCCTGTCATGCACGCGTCGGCGAGATCCGATCGCAAAATCGATCCCCCTGTCACCCCCTAGCTCCATGTATCTATAATATAGCCACGAGCCATCGCAAGTCCGAGAAGAGAGAGCTTTCCAGACGATCGACGAAAAATTGTGTTATCGGCTCGCGTTGTCGGATGCGAATCTCTAACTATCTCCGTATCTTCTCTCATCTGCGTACGTGCGTTCTCTCTCGCATACAGACTATAACTATACACGCTCGGGCGCGTGGCGCAATAATTAGGTAAAAATTCGTGACACGCGCTTCGTCTCATCTCTCTCGCATATATATCAACATCGTTATAATATAGTCTATATCGTCGGCCGATGCTCCAGAATTCGAAATTTTTCTGGAGCAGCGAGTTTATTATTACACTATAAGCAGCAGTAGCAGACGGTGTATACAATACAGGTTGTCGCGCGCGAGCTTCTGTATATGTATGTATATAACACATTCATTCGGTGACACCGCTGCTACTCTGCCCCTCGCGGAACACGCGGAGGAGAGTAGAGGGAGCGTCGCGCGCGAGTTTGCTTACATTCTGCCTACAGTGCGGGTATATGTATAGGTGGTGGTGAGCATAACGTTATATAGCACAAGTCGCTTGTCTGAGTGTGTGTGCCGAGCGCACATGACGATCGATTGACTCCTGTTAAACACACATTCGTTCTCGCGCGCGCGCGAGACACACACAGTAGAGGCGATCGAAAGTGTCACATGTGTGCGCGCGTGTGTGTGTGTGTGTGTGTGGAGTTATTATAACGCCGATGCACGCATGTGTATATACGCGATGAAAGCTACTGCTGCTTCGCCTTGCACGGGGGAGGTAAAATTTTCTTCTTTTTTTTTTCTTTTTTCTTCGTCATTATTATTATTATATACGAAGCTTGCGCGCCTCGACGACGACGACGAGTTGCAGCTATACAATACTACATACACGCGGCCGCGATGTTTATATATCGAGGAAAAATCAATCTCGTACCTATACAGGTACTTACTATATATACCGAAGATGATGTGTCTTCTTGACGTTCAGTTTAGCCGCTATATTGTATACCGACGTCGTGTGGAGCGTACGGGTCACACTGCACACAGCACATGTGCTTTTCGCGCGCGTCAACGTCGTCGTCGTCGTCGTCGTGCGAGATATCATAATGTCACTGTGTCATGATCTCTTTCTCTCTCTCTCTCTGTAAGGCGGCCGTGTGCCGTCTATATAGCATACGCTCGTATACACAGCATGAATAGAGAGGTATGAATCGAACGTATACCATTCGTATTGTGCGAAACGTTATTTTCGGAGTTTTTCTCGAATCGTCTACATACTACACGAGCCAATATTGCTAAACGTTTTTGCGCTTCGCTCGCTGTCCGCAGACGAGTCGAAGATGAACGATATATTAATACACGACTCCGTTTTTATATATACCTATATATATTTTGTGCGCTAATGTAGTAAACGTCGCGCGAGGATGCGCACATGTCTGCGCCTTTTCACATACTATACGAGGGGGGGTGGTGAACCTGTACGAACTCGCACGCGCTCGTCTCAGCTCTTCATTGGCTTTTTTGCTCTCCTCCGTTCTATCTCTCTCTCTCTCTCTCTCTCTCGCTCACCTTTTTTGCATTGTTGTGAGTCTATACACGCGACGACTTCGCAGACACACAATATTATACCTGTATCGGAGCACAAAGCTCACTTACTCTCGAGCAACGAACGCTTATTGTATACGCGAGCGGCTCTCCCGAGATATTATCGCTCTCCACTTTTAGCGCAACGCGTGAGTGTGTAAATGTTGATATCGTACACAATACGAGTGTTATTGTTATTATTATATACACATGTGCGCGGAGTGTGCGTGTGTGTACGTGTGTGTCATGACTACTGCAGCAGCAACACGCGAGAGCGAGACCGCTGACAAGTAACAAAACAATAACAACAAACGAGGTTTTTGAACCGAACGCGACGCTGGTATAATTCCTCGATATACCTATATATATACAATGTAAAATGTATTTCTGCTCGTTCGGAGTAGGTGATTTGTGTTTTCGACAAGCCAAGAAGAGATGATGCAATTTTTTCTTTTTGCATTATAATACAACACTGTGTGTGTGCGCGCGCGCGCGCCGCAATTAATTCCTCTCTTTCCGCTCTCTGCCGCTGAAAAATCGTGCCGTATTAATAATGCAACAACAAAAACGAAAAAAAAGGTGTACAGGCTTGTGTGTCGAGATACGATGCGCTCGCGTGTGTGTGTCTATGTGCGCGCGACTGTTGTTTGTGCACATGCTATTTTCGTCTCGTGTGAATAACTGCGGCGCGCGGGGTCAACGAATGCTTTAAACGCAAAATCATTAGTTAAACATAATAAACATCTATACGTGTGTGCTAATGTGTGTGTGTTGTGTGATTGTGTGCGGAGGTTTTCTTACAAGTCCACGAAGACACGTGTAAGTGTGAAATCGAGTTACCTGTCGTCGACAGGCGACGTTCTTTCTCGCTCGCACACACGTACGTACCACACGTTGACGTTGATGACGACGACGATTCGAGTTGCGACTTTTTTTTTCGCACGCGTTTATAGCTGGTAAACATTTTTCATCGACGTTGTAAAATAAATTGGCCGATGCTAAACAGACGCTTCGGTGGAAATTATTCGTGTTTCTCTCTCGGGTTTACATGGGAATTTTTGTATAATTAGCGTACAAAATGTAGTTGTGCAAAGAATCATCATCGCTTACCAAAGTAATGCAATTAGTACACGTAATTCTGCAAATTGTGATTCAGATGTCGAGCTTTTTACAAGGAAATTCGTTGATGTAGCATGCGATGCACTCTACCCAACATGCTCGTGTGGCATCATGTGATTTGGAAAGCTGCCATCTAAACATCTGATCTCTCTTGTGCGTCAAGTGAGGCATTACTCGAATGTTTTTGCTCCGTGTGTAAATTCACTGCAAAGTTTAGCATTTTGGAAAATACAAAGAGAGCTTCGGGAGTAATTCGAAAGAACCGATTCGAATGTATTGCTCTGTAAAAGCTCGAGTACGGTTGAATTCTTGTAGTTGGTAATGCTTAGCTCGCAACATGATTCTTCGATATTTTGTTTTGTGTAACGGTAAATAACTCTGCTAGAAATATTTATACTCTCGAGTGGTTCGAATGGTAACACTGTCGAGATAATATTATCTGGTAAGCGCATTGTGCACATTAAGACCGATCGCTCGTCTATAGCCTCGTAAAATAATTGTAAATCAGAGATCTAAAATCAGCGATTTAAAAGCTTTCGAGCAAAACAACGTTGAATTTCAAAATACAAAAACAATTGATTGAAATTATTGATCGATACTCGAGCACACTTTCGATGTGTCAATGTTTAATCTTCATTATCACAAAAGTTGATCTTTGCGCTCGCGTGAATGAAAAAGGTTAATGCGTCATCTGCACATTTTTATTAAAAATAGTCTTCTTTTAATTGTACGTGAAAATTCATCAATATTACTCATTTTCTAATGAATAATGATCGACTTTATCGAAAGAGTGTGTGGGTGCCTATACGTATACTATTGTGGACTCGAATAGCATTGTTATCACATTTTATTGCTCTCGCGCATGGGCAATAATACAAAAAAAAATGCGTTATCTCTTTCCTTGAAGGAAAACTACTATATAAGCGAGGCCAATGTCTCGAGAATAAATTGCATTGTTTACGGCTGCGTTGGGACGGTTTTAGACAAAACACGCGTGCTATACACGAATTATACACTTCCAAACGTGAATATTGACTCTTTTACAAAAAGAAAAGAAAGGCATAATTGTCGGCAAACACAAGAGAGAACATCGATGCTCGACGTTTGTATAAATACACGTATATGTACAGAGATGGCTTTGAACAGCTACGTAAATAATTGTAAGCATCGATCAATCAAGCGCAGCGATTTATCGCCGCTCCATAATTCGCCATTAATTAAGCCGTCGCGCCCCGCGGAGGAGAGCTTCCGTGCGCCGCTGTCAAATGGCGCGCGATTAGCAGCGCAAAAACTGCCGACTAACGTCGTCGTGCGTTCATATGGACAGCCCCCCTCGATGGTCTAGTCGCTCTTTCAGCATCCCAAAGTTTCGGCATCGTCGCAGAGGGATTATGTAGGCTCGAATACGTATAATTTATACAGCACTCGCGCGTCACTGTACCGCTACTACTACTGGCTATTACTGCTGCTGATGACGATGACGCGAGTCTCTGCCGTATATGTGTGTGCGTTAGGATATGATCTTTTTCGCGTTCGCCTCATCATCATCATCATCGTCGTCGTCGTCATAATCTGCGGGGGCACATTAATTCGATCGGAGATTGTAAGCGAGCGAGAACTGCTCTTCTAGGCTGCTACAACCTTGCTTCGCTCTTGATATTATGTAGCTTCGTCGTCGTCGTCGACGCCGCTTACAAAAGACGATTTATCACAATTCTTGGCGATTACGATAACGACGATAAACCCTATTTTTACATCAATGCGTTCACGTTGATGTGTCTGTGTCTGTGTCTGTCCGACCTATGTATATATTTACCGAATGCGTGTGTGTCTGTATGTGTGCTGCATGGGGGGAAAAACACAAACCGCCTATATATATTTATTCGCTAACTTTTTCCTTCTCGCTTTCTTTTTCGCAGATGTACGCTGAAAGTTCGAAGGAAATTACGTAAAGTATCTGTCGTCAAAATGCCTCCCGCCTGGAGCTTCGATAATCCAGGAGCAGCTCCCTAAAAGCTCGCTTCGGAGAGCTTCCAACAAATAAGCAAAAAAATAAAAGGCCAGTGCTGTATCGACCGAGCAAACACTTTGGACATCACACACACACACAGCTAGAGGAATCTTCATTTTAAAAAAAGCAAAAAATTAAACAAACAAAAAAAAATAGAAAAAAAAAACTTGAAAAAAAAAATCACTCAAAAAAAGTCAGTGCGACGCCGTGGCGTCGTTTGAAACATGCTCGTAACGCCGTTTCCCAGCTCGATAGACAATAATCAGCAGCAGCCGTCGCAGGAGAACAACGAGTTGATCGAAGGAGACGGCAGCATGATGAACAAGCAGCCACAGAACAAGACAGCCGGCGGCTTGGCTAACAACGAGGTCGGAGTCGGCGAGGACGACAAGCACCAGGAGCCGTTTCCGCCCCACGTCGACGTCGAGAACATCGTGATACTCTCCGAGTCGCCGAGCAGCAAGCGCCAGACCCTCAAGACGTTCGCCGAGGTGCAGGCGCTGCTGCAGGCGGACAAGGTGCGCGAGGTCAAGCTGATTCTACGAGAGAACGCCTGGCCGCTCAACAACGGCATCCGGCGGCAGCTCTGGCCCGCCCTCATCAGCCAGCACGCCAGCGTCAACAAGGCCATCGAGGGTTACTACTGGGAGATGGTCTGCCAGGTGCTGGGAACAAGTGGTAAGTATTTGATGCCGATGCGGGCAGTAAGGGGGGAGTAGGGGGGACGATGAGCTTTGCCATACTTTTTTTAAAAAATTACATCCAACTATGGACAAAAACGAACTCGCAGAGATACCGGAGAACTCGATCATGCTGCCGCCGTTCGTCGACAGCTCCCATTGCCTGTCCTACAATCTGACGCGCCGGGGCAGGAGCGTCGCCGACAGGATCGTCTCCATACTGGGATTCGCCTGCCCGGACATCACTTACAGCCCGTGGTTGTATCCCATAACCGCGATTTTATTGCATTTTTTGACGGGTAAGAGAGAGAGAGAGAGAAGAGAAGAAGCGAGAGCTTTTAATTCAGAAAACTAATGATTCGAATGATTTTTTTTTTTTTACAGAGGAGCAGTGTTACAATTGCATACAATATTTAATAGGATCTAAGAAGAAAATGTTTATCACACAAACCAAGCTCGTTTACGAATGCACATGGAAAACGGTCGAACAAATTACCAAAAAACATGTGGTACGTGTCAACGAAACAAGTTCAAGTTCTCGAGAAAACGTCTTTATTTTTTTTTCTCTCTCTATTTAGAAATCGGCTGCGATGCATTTGACCAGACACCTCTCGGGCTCTCGAGCCGAGAGAATCTACATGGACTGGATCTGGTGGATTCTGCAGCTGTTGCCGTTTCAACATCTAGTCAGAGTTATGGACTGTTTTTTGCACGAGGGCATCAAGGTCTTCTATAGGGTAGCGATGGCGATCATTTTGCTGTTTTACAAGTACTCGTCGAATCAGGATTCTGAGTGGATGGCCGAGATTAATAAGCACGGCGTGGATCAGGCCCTCTCAAAGTTCTGCCGGCAGATGCCTGTAAGTATACACGAATCGATATGGATACCTGTGCGGTTGGATTTTGTAACGAATCGTTCGCGCGTGTGTTTTTTTTTCCCAACAGGTATCGCCGGCAAAATTTCTGAAAACTGCATTCGGCATTCGGAATCTGACCTCGAATTACATATCGCGGGTGTTTATAAGCACCGAAATGAATCTCCGTAGCCGTTACGCCATGACCGGATCCAACTCGCTGGTCAAGTCGCGATCCACCGACACCCTGCCGACCAGCCAGTCGCAGATGAACATCCAGATGATGTCTCACACTCTCACGATTCGCGAGGTAAGTGAAGTCTCGCGTCTGGGGATTCTTATCCCTCTATATATATTTTTTTTTATTAAACTTCGTTCTGCCCTTGAAAAAGAGTTTTTTTTTATATATACATTGGTGAAAGAAAATACTACTAACGTAGAGAGCAGAACAATAACTACTTAGTTTGGCCAAACAAGAACTTTTTTTTGTATCATTTGTATTTAACTCCTAATTAGTTTCTATTTTTTTTTTTACACTCTTTGTACTTTTATTTTTTATCTTTACTTACCAAAGTGAATAATAACAATGGTGTAAGGTTATATATAAACGTGATTGACCTTCAAAGTATTTCACAGTTTTAACAAATTTATGGTTTCTATTTTATATACATGGTTGCTTCATACAAATCCGCACGTTTCTTTAAAAAAAAAACTAAGTAGACGACCGTAATAAGACCGAATTTGTTTTTTATTTTTTTTACTAACCTATTTTTTCCTTTTTCTTTTTATTTTGTTTTATATTCCAAGGCGAGAGAATTTATAGAATCTATGATGGAGAAGCCGAATCAGATTTTCTCGTATGCATCCATAAACGTATTTTTTTTATTCTTTATCTATTTTTTTTCAACTTTTTCAACGTCTACCACCGATTTTCAAATGTTCACTTATTTTTCAGCAAGAATGTGAAGACTCTTACAAAGACAGGGTATCGTATGATTATCTTTTTGGAAAATGTGCCGTTTCGTTTCATGTGCTATCACCTACTACTACTACTACTTACATTTTATTTCATTTTATTTTTTTACTTTTTGAATCCTTTTTACAAGTACATTCAAAAGAAAGGCAAAAAACATTTTACTTTTGCGCGTGTTTTCAAAACTCTCTGCCCGCATGGCAGCGTGTTACTTGCGTTGCTCCTTTTTTTTTAACTGTCTTACGGCTTCATTTTTACATCTATACTGTGCCATGGAAATGCGCTAAACATTAATACAAAAAAAAAAAAAAAAAACGCCGCGCTGTGCCTGCAGCTGCTACCATTTCACTTTTAAAATTAAAAAAGTGGTTTTATTCTTCGTGTGGCATTTTTTTGTCGATCGATATTCTCATGGCGACATTCGCTTTTTGGTACATATATATTTTTTTCACGACATTTCCCAACGAAATGACGAAGAAAATCATACTACGTGAAATATACGTGTCCCGAGAGGTAACAAAAAAAAAAAGAACGATTACATTTTCACACCTCATATCCCATCCGTCGCGCCGCATCATCGATATTTGTACACGTTTTGTATTTTGATTTCCAACAATTTCTATATGATATCTCATCGTCGTATCGCGTTCAAATATTAAATGTTTGCTCCGAACAAATGGCGAACGCGTGCGCGTGTACCATAATTCTTTATTCTTCTTCTTCTCTTTTATTTCTCTCTAAATTCGCGATATCAGTCGGGTTCGGAATGAACAACGATTTACGATTTGCTTTTCCGTCGCGTCCGGCTTTTGAGAATTTTTTTTCTCTCTCTCTCTCTCTCTCTCTCTTTCACGGTGACATCACACAAGACTTCATCCAACACGCACACGCTCTTTTTCACTCTCACTCCACTCATTCTACCTCTTTTTTTCTCTCTCTCTCTCTCTGTTGGCGTGCACGTCAACTCAGGCACATGAGATGCGGCGGCTCTCGCGTGAATCCGTCGCGCGAAATCTCGTGACCGCGCACGGCTGCTATATAATATAAAATACACACATTCGAAGTATATATATGTATACATACACGAGCACACGCGGCGCGCGGCATTAGCGAGAGAATGCAAGACTACTACCTACTACCACTACTATGCTACTAAACTAGAGATCTATTTTCGCCTCGTTGCGTGTGAATCAACCGCGCGCGCTCGTCGAATTGTGTCAACATTGGCACGACCGGCTTCTTCGGCTCGCGAGAGGGAATGTATAATTAAGAATTACGATGCGATTTTGTGTTTTCTACCTCTTTCTCTATCTTGCGTTGATGCTTTGTTGTTGTCATTTTTTTCTTTCTATTTAATTTTCGTCGATATCGCATGGACGAGATGCGAACGCGCGTGACAGCATTCGACGAGCGGTAGAGCTTTTTCGTTTGACTAATTTTTTTTTTTATATTTAAAAACAAATGGGTGAATAACTAACGAATAACTTTGATGTTTGGCTTCCGATTGCTAATATTGGTGATTAACTAAGCGTGTGTGTTTGTGTTTGTGTCCGTGCGAAGGTATTAACTCTTTTAACGCTTCCGTTGTATTGGCTCTCTCTCTTTCTCGCTATAATTTTTTTTCTTCTCTCCAAGGCAGAAGCTTGCAAAGCTCGGATAAATTTTTCAAATGTTTTTCTTCGGTTTGCAAAAGAAAAAAAGAAAAAAAATAAAAAAACGACGAGAAAAGTATCGAATCGCGTGCATGTATAATGTATATCTCTTCGCAAACATCGCGGTGGGCGTCTATTTTCGTTCTTACGTCGATCGCCGAGAAATCCCACATAAGTTCGTGTGCTGCTGTTGCTGCTGACCGAGTATATAATACAGAAATAGATTTTACACAAAGCAAAATGTATGTACGTATATATACCTGGCCTGTCTTATCGAAGGCAATGAATTTTCTTCGGCTCTCTGGACAAGCTCTCGCCTCTATGGCGAATCAAAGGGGTGTTGGGTTGGGCAGGGTTTACATTATGTTTTTTTTTTACTCCTCTCTCTTTTCGTATATACGCGCGCCTGCTGAGAATTTCAATTTCAAGCGCAGGTGAAAGAAAGACAGACAGCCTACTTGATGTTTTTTTTTTTTTTTTGCAAATACCGGTATAGCTTTTATTATTCTTGGTCAATTTGTTTTGAGCGCTCTTACGCAACCGAGTGTGCTCCTTCTATTTTTTTTGCCTTCTCTCTCGTTTGTTTTAACAAAATTTCGTGCAAATTTTTTCGAGTTGGTTGGCCCCTCAAGCTCTCGGGGGCCGCGAAATCATTGACCACTGAGTCATTCTTCATTTATTGTAACATCTCTACTTTCCCGAATCGTTTCCCGCTAATAATTCTTCGAACATGAATTTTACGTTTTAACCTTGAGCGATGGTTTTCACTTGTTATATATATATATATTTTTTCCTACATACATTATGAATTCGTCGCTTCTGAAAGTTGATGTACTCGATGTTTGTTTATTCTCCAATTATAAAATATAAAATAAATCCTCCGAGCGCTTATACCATGTGCGTATTTTGATATACATAAGTAAGCGAATCATAATTAATATTAAAAAGAAAAAAAAACTCTATGACTGAACTCAATTAACAATAGCTCATAAGAATATATGAAAATATATCTATTTTACAGTACTAAATTTTTTTTTAATATTTCTGTGTGTTTTGCTGCATTCCCGACAATTACCTAATGGATTACCAAAAAAAAAAAAAAAAAAACAAACCAAAATATATCAATCATGCAACCGAAAAATACCAATCGAAAAAACAAAAAAAAAAACAATGTAACGAATTATGTGTCTTCTTCGACTTCTTCTTGCATTGTTGTGTGTGTGCGCGCGCCTCCGCCTGCACCTCTACTCTTCTTCTCTGCGCTGCGCATAAACTACCCTCTGCGTCGCACAACAACTGTCGTTGTGTGTGTCTCTCGCATTGAATTGATAAACAGGGCGCCCACAGTCCCGGACCACGCGCCCAATCCCTGGGCGTTTATCCCATACAAAACATTAAATCGCAGATATGCGATCAGCCCGATGTAAGTATAAACGATCGATTATTAAAAAACCAAAAAAAAAAAAATTTAAACCACATTGTCCGCCAAAAATTGTGTACATACATTATATAGATTTTTTTTCCTCGTTCTTACTACCATAATCTATATATACACCTTAAACATTTATATTAGTATAATTGTGTTAGATCCCGAAATTATTTTTTAGTAGATTACCTACTTTATTATTTTCACGTTGTTATATTACTCATCTAGAATAGATAGGCCATTCGACCATATATATACAGCATTGACATTGTAGGCCTTTGAATTTTTGTGCCTGCGTTTGCATTTTAAAACAATTGTCAGCGTAGTTTTTTTGATTGTTTTGTACTTTTGCTGTTTTTGATTGCTCTCTCTCTCTCCCACAGCAGCTGTGTTTTCGCCTTCGAAAGACAATCGTATATAAGCTCGCTCGAAACGTTCGGTATCATCATCGTCGTCGTCATTATTATTTTTTTCCTTTCTTCTCTCTCTTAATTAAATATTAACTCGGTCGATATTGGCTCTCGACAAATAAGCCATCATCATCGAGTTTGGTCAATTTCAATAATTCGCCTCCGCGCGATGTTTATTTTCATTCGACATTCATCGTGTGCATCATCGTGCATCATCGTCGTCGTACGTACACCGGCGGCGTGCGGCCATCCTACCCTTTTCGTAGATTTGTATATTTATTGGAAATCATACGCACACGTATATATGTACGTTCTCGTTGATCGCGTAAGCAAACTTGTTTTTTATAAGGTAAAAAAACGATATCTCACTCTCTCTCTCTATTGCTCGCGCGTCACACGCTCGATTGGCTTTTACACGCACCGCATACGTGTAGCATTATTAATAATACTTTAACCATCGATTACATAACATTCGTCATCTCTCTCATCGGCGTGCTGCTATACATATTTACTGCATCGTTGCTTTTTTTTTGTTACCTTTTGGGCATGGTATTTTTTTTTTCTAATTATAAATAATAAATAATCTTGCACACACACACGCGCGTAGTACAGCGCACAGCTTTGGCATAATATTAATCGCAATTATAAACCAGTAGAATACACCTCTTATTTATATATAAATGTGTAACACAAATCTGTCTTTATTTTTATCATCGCACTCGCACACGCGTGTGTACATCATTTATACGTCGGATTTATTTCACGTTGCGTGTGTGTGCATATTATAACACACTCATCGAGTAGCTGCCGATTGATCAAAAAGCCGACTATACTACTCGATGATCTACTCGTATCATGCTAATGAGATCGCCGCCAGAGCGCTTAATAACAGATTACCCGCGAGCAATTTGCATTTATTAATACGAGTGTTAATTAATTGACGTTTATCGCGATACACGATCGCGGCGTTAGACGTCAACACACACTCTCTCTCTTTTTCTCGTGTATTTTGGATTTATTAGCTTGTATTTCCATTAATAACGTAAAAGAAAAAAAGTCTCTTTTGCTCTCACTCTGACTCTCTTGAACGAGCGAAAAATTTCACATTTTTCCACGCTCGTTCGGTCGTCGAACGACAATTTATTTTATTATTATTTATTTTTTTTTTTTTTTTGCTGAAATTCGCGCGCTTGGCTGTCGATCATTCTTATGGAGCTTTCAACGATAAAACATGAAATAAACATTTTTTTTTTTAAGTTTGACTCGTTTGTTAAGCTTCATCTCGTCTTTCTCTCTCTTTTTTTTTTTTTCTCTCTCTCTCTATCTCCATCTCTATCACACTATCTTTTGCGTGTACACCATCATCTTTGTCACGACGAAATATTAAAGAGAAAAAAAAAACTCGTTTTTGTCTGTTTTCCATTGGGGGATTCCGCCAAGCAGCTCTTCACCCTGTGGTCCTGGTTGCCCGTAAGAATTACCATGTACCAGCCGGTCCTTTTGTATACGACTGAAGAACACGGCTGTTCGCTGACAACGTTCTACGTTCGTGTAGAAAAATACGAGCCAACCCTCATGATGATCAAGACTTGTAACAATGAGGTGAGCAGCGGCAGCGACCTTGATTCAAGCTCTCGCGATGTGCAGCATTGTCTTATTTTAATTATTTTTTTTCTTTTTTTTTGCATTGCGTTTATTACAGGTTTTTGGTGCGTATTGTTCGACCCGCTGGTGCGAGAGAAATTTGAAGGACGACAAGGGCAACAGACAGGCCTACTTCGGCACGGGTGAGACATTCCTGTTCAGTCTATATCCCGAGAGAGCGAAGTACGCCTGGGTCGGCATGGACACGGCCCACAGCGATTCCAAAGTCGATCATTCGGCCGAGCTGTTCATGGCGGCCGACGCGAAGATGTTAACCATCGGCGGTGGGTGAGTGTCTCTCTCTCTCTCTCTTAATTTTCCACGTCACACGACGCACACGCGGTGTAATCGATACCCCGATCATCGTTATTATTCTATTTTTTTTTTAACTTTTTTTTCCACTTGCTTTTCGCAGCGAGGGTCAAGCAATATGGATGGACGAGAACATCAGGTACGGCAAAACGGATCGCTGCTCCACGTTCAACAATCCGCCGCTGTGTGCGAGCGGCGACTTTGAGATACGCGTCCTCGAGGTCTATGGTTTTCACGGCGCTTAAAATTGAGCGAGCGAAAAGATTTAAAGAAAAAAAACAAACAAACAAACTAAGCAGCAGTAGTAGAAACAATGAAGTTATAGGAACAAAAACAAAATAAATAGAAAACAAAAATGAACGGCAGCATTATTAATAATAATTAAAGAAAAAAAAAAGAGTAACGAGTATTCGATTTCCTTACTGCCATTACGAGCGTCTCTCTCTATATAATATACTGTATGTATCTATATGCGTGTATAACGAACATATAATCTATTTTTCTGCTCTCACTCAGCAATTTACATTTAGAAGATACACTCGAAAATATTGATAAATATATACATTTGTATATATTCCAATTGTCGTTAGGTTCGTTACGATTTTTTTTCATTAAACCAAATGTTGAACTTTCTCGTTATCGAAGAAAAAAAGAAAGAAAGAAAAAATCGATGAGAGAGAAACAATCCCTCGTTCGCCTAATGATTAGCTATTTTTTATTAAAACAAAAAACAAAACATATATATGATGTGTAAATGCCTTGCTATCAAAGCTATTGCCCATCGATTCGTGAGAATCTTCGATTATAAAAATTAGACGTATAGGTACTCGAAAGCAAAGAAAAAAACTTACACACGGTTTCGTTACAATTACAACACGAACGTAGAGAGACCAAGATTTGCACGAATGAGTAATTTTTATTGAATCGCCATTGTAATTATTTTACAATGACAAAGTTAAAAGAGCAACCAAATTTTGTTTTCTTCTGCGTAAAAAGAGAATACTTGATTGTTTTTCATCCGTTGAATAGAACGGCACGAGGCCTATATACAGATTCGAATGAACAAATATGTATTCATATAGTCTATTTTCTATAAATATATATTGTATATTACAATTGTGTTTGTCCTTGTTGACATATATTCGGAAAGAATACATGAATGAAAAAAAAATGCTTTATACAAATTAAATCAACAAAAATATGTGTACAGAGGCTAACGGCCGGTCGCTAGTACTCTGTGCCATGAAAAATATGTTGATAGTCGCGTAAAAAAATCTGTTATTATCGACATTAATTGTTTGTAATATCTGACAATAACAATTATAAAAATGACACAACAAAATAGATTTTTGATCAAAACACACGTAGTTGAATGATTCTTTGTGTATCTTTTTTGTACCCTCTACTTGAAAAAAATGAAAAACGAACGATATGATTCAATAGTGAGATTACTTAAAAAATTGTTGAATCAGAGATTTAAGATAATTCATTTAAAACCATTGTGTAAATATTATATTTAATCGTGTCTGTTTATAATTTATAAAAATGCATTGATATTTGTACAAACGCGAGTTGTTTCATAGCGATTTATTTATCATTTAGGCTTGTTATATTTATATTGTAGCTTTACGTCGATGTTAGTAAAAAAATGTTTAAGTTTGTTTTTTATATTGTAACAAGTCTCTCTTTCCTGTGTATATATTATAAATATTTTATCGTATTATGAACTAGGCGAACGTAAACTATCGGAAATAATGTAATTTGGTAGTTGGTGCTGGCGCACGCGAGTCTGTGAGAGAAAGAAAGAAAAAATGGAAGACTAGTCGAATGACATCTCATCAGTTTCATTCTATATATGATAAATTAATTAATTACGAACGATACATGTATTTTGCATACACGTTTCTATATATTGTCGTAGAGTTCAGACAAAATAAAGTGGCTGGCACCACCGCAAAGAAAAAGCGATCAAAATTTTCGTTTTAGAAAAAAAATATAAATATATATAAACATATATGTATTTTTTCAACAATTTTAAGCTTCGCAAAATAAGCATTATTACTATTTTTTCTCGCACATATAACTGAGCATATGAACATACAAAATACACACGGATATGATCAGATAAAGCGCATGTATATCTAACCATGAAAGTATTTCTAAACTATAAAAGATGTCGAATAAATTATCATGACCCCAAGTGTAGTATTATGTAGTAGCAAATGAGAGAGGACTGAAAATGTCACATGACTATTATATTTATATAAAACAACAAATCATCGATAATTCGTTTGCTTGAATGCTGTAAATTATATAAGAAAAGATATAGCAAACTTTTAGTTGTCTTCTATGATAAAAAAAATATGTTTTTACCAAAGTGTGCGTAAGACATGAGAGCTTACGTGTGCGCACTACACTCACAAAACGGTATTGTTGAATAAAAAGCACGTTATGCAGTATGATTGAACAATACGAATGATTTTATGTCTATAACAAACGCTGTATAGATTACAAATCGAATATCGAAAAGTTTTAAATAGTTGTTAAAGAAAAATCGAAAAAATGCATGAAAAAACCCAAATCAATTGTTGAAGCATTATTTAAACTTAGAGAAAAAAGATTAGATTGCATTAGAAATAGAGAGTGCACGAATAATCCTGTGCGCGTAACGATGCATATCATAACAGTCACGCCGAGCGTGAAACGAATCATTCGATGTTTTTGTGCAATTACAGTTCACATCCGAGAGCAAATTAACTGTAATAAATCTTTGTAGACTTATATAAAAAGTAGAGATGCAAATAAAAGTTGAATTTATAATGTCTGTTGAACACGTGAGATGCGTTTGTTTTTTTTCTTGCGAGGAAAAAAGCGCGTATTTAGCATAATACAAATACTTAGTTGGTACTCTTGTGTTATTACAATGGATCTCATGTTATAAAATATTAATTTACGAAAAAGAAACAGAATGCAGTTAAAATAATGCAATAGAATTTCAGTTTAGAGGAAAAATCCTTTTTTCAAGCAATACCTACTACTGCTACTACTACTACTACTACTACTACAACTATTACTACTACTATTTTTGAGATTGAAAGCGTCGATAAAAATAACGCAGAGTATCAACGCTTTCTTTTTTCGAAAAAACCTCTGTACAAATTCAAAGATAATTTAATTACTTTTACTGCGTGCAAGTGTAATTGCCTGATGTCAATTGTAAAAAGATTGAGTTTAAGTATGTATCAATTCATATTAATCGCAAATAACGAACTAGAACAATTAAAAGTGAGTCTTTTAAGCTATACTATACATTTATTGTTCGTTGATTAATTTTTTTTGTACAGTTTAGCATTTAATATTAGTTTTTGTACTGGAGTCAAGAGCTGATGCCGTTATTTTTTAATGGTATTTTTTGATAAAATTATGTTTTAGCTATTCATATAAAAGTATTAATGATACATTTATTTCTATGTGTTAAATGCAACTCCTCTTTTTCAACCAATCTCTGTATTATAATTTACAGTTCCATAAAGTTAAGTTTATTTTGTTCTCTAAGTGCAACATCATAAAAAATCATTAATATTTTTAAAAAATACGCGGTACTCAGTCTTGAAAATGTAAGATTTATTCTGTAGCCGTTGAAGCTTACTTTTTAAATTGATGTAAAACTTGACATCGTAAGCTTAATGAAAAAAAATTATGGAAGATTTCGATAAAACTTGAGCGTCGAAGTTATTTAAGTAAAAAAAATCAATGAATTTTATTATCATACAAGTCCAATCGTTTTTGTAAAAACTCTACATTTTAACGAAAGAAATTTAGAGAATAGTCGCCAATTCTAAACAATTCATTATAATCATTAAAACCAATTAATAGACTGCAATATTGTTTATTTAGTGAAGTCTTGATTGAGCAGTAAAAAAAGAAGAAATACCGTACACAGTTTTAACTGGTTTATATTTATACTGATGAAAGACAAATTGAACGAAATCAGACGATATTTTATATCAAGGCAATACATGTGACTAAAAAAAAGTTATAGAAGCTACGAATCATACATAAATCTTGCATTGTCAATTTGTATCTATATCGGATGAAAAAGAAAAATAACCGAAAATTAAACTGATTAACAATGCGCTCTAAGAAACCTTCTTGAGTGCATCGCGTTTGAAGGTTTCGAAAATGAAGAAAAAACAAGTAAATCAGTCGTACGTATCTTCACGAGCATGAAGTTGCTGTATGAGGCTTTAATTAAAAAGCCTAAAAAAATATATATATGTGAGTTATGAAAAATGTGACATACGCTGGAAGGTATTACATATATATTTATATTTAAACGAAACAAGATGTGAATATATACAAATATGACATTAAATATATACATTATATGAAAAGAAAATAAATATATGCTATGCGAATAAGAGAATACTTGAATGGAATGTTTCTCCGAGCTTTCCGTGTGTATAAAAAAAATGAAGAAAAATAAGAAAAAATAAGAAACTAAATGTTATAAAAAGAAAAACAATTGCATCGACAGTTGTGTACCTATACTGTTTCCTCAGATCAAAGTTGTTGCCTGATTATTAATATATTATTGTTTAATATTAATTGCCTACATGATATACACTACCGTCATATCATTGTCGTTGTCATAGATATTAGATAATTATTGAGCGATTAAAAAATACAAATCCTTGTTAAAACAATCGAATTCAAGTTATTTACTTCGTCATTTATTCCTTGACACTTCGTAATCCATCACAATATTGTTTTTCAAATTACATTTTCTCGTGATGCCACCATGTGTAGCAAAACGATACGATTAACTTACTTAATCGAATCAAATGTTTAAAGCTTTCCATTTTTTTTATTCTACGATTTGATTTACAGATTTCCTATGTCCCGGTAATGGGGAATCATTTGATATTTTGTCATTGACTTATCGTGTCCTCGAGCGTTCACACATACGTATTAAAATTGGGAGTGAGGCACGTTGGATATAAAGACTTCTTAGAGTCACAAACTTATTCATACGACCAGCGCTCTTGCCTTTGCATCAAGTCTTTGCAACGTGTAACCGGTGTAAATTTTTTCAGCTCGCACGTACAATATTCGTTTTGGATCGATTAAGTATTAGCGACAAATGTGAAGAAAATTTAATTTCAATGAAAGAGAGAAAAAAATCTCAGATAGTTATTGGGACAGGAGCTAATTGATACTGGCAGCAGCAGCAGCAGCAGTAAGACGCGGGCTCAGCGAGGTTCAAGCTTGCAATTAGTATGGGACAGGCGTTCGAAAAGGTGTCCCTCGCACGCAGGTAAGGTCGCCCCGCACACTTGACACTCTATATCTATTTATAAAGTGCACTGTGTCGCGTTGTGTATTTTAATACGAGCGAAATTATCCAACACGACTCGTAATGTAATTTTTCTGTCTCTTTTTTCTCGCTTTTGCGTTATTGGGCACATTGCGAGTAGTCGTCGGTGGCGTCGTTATGAGCGGTTATGCGATCGGCTTGTTTGTGTGTGTGTGAGTGGGTATGTGCAATATATGTGCATGGATTGGACTGATAGTACTAACTATTCATTTTTTTTATGTTAAGAATGGAATATAATCGAATTGATTTCCATAGGTGTACCAGAAACATTGGCGAAATTGCTCAAGCATGTCCGTTAGTTCTCTGCTGGGTTCTCGGGTTATCGCGTTCACTCTCGAGATTGAATCGATGTAAGTCTGCAGTATTTCCACCTTGTCATCGGTGTAATACTCCAGACCCAATTTCGTGATGGCCCGTTCCCATCTCTTGCTTCGGACAACGGCTCGAACGACCTCCAAACATTTATTCTTTTCAGGTACGAGCGACTGGAAAGATGAATGAAAAAATGTACCCATTCAATTGTTTATTTTCAAATTCAATGACAGGTAATTGAACAAATAATAAAGAAATAAACATACAATGATGGACGGTAGATCGTCGATCAGTGGCCAATTGCCTTCGCAGGCCTCGCATGTACAAGTGAAAAAGTAAGGCGCTAATTTTTTTCTTCTTTGTTCGATCGGTGTACCAGGAAAACGACAGCCGTAATCTTCAACCAACTATAATAAATTGTAATTAATTGAGGTAATAATCGAAAATTTTTTTTCTTTTTATAAGGGATTCATTCGTTATTATACCTCGACACCTTCGTCGATTGCTTTAAGTGCGTAAACAGCTTGATAAACTCGATTGTCCTTGATGAAGGAGCACCTGGCGACGTTGGGGTTGCAGCTGTGATTCAACAGGCTCACGACGGGCCCGAGCATTCCACCGATTGGAAAATACTCGAAATCTCGATACTCGTTGAACTGTGATAATTAACAAAAAACAGTCGATTTTAAAAACTCCGGTCACGTACAACCAAAAATATTTATGTCTACAAAATAGTTGTCCTACCAAAGCCCCGTTGACTTGAAGCTGCATGTAATGTTGGACGATGAGTTTACCGACGAACAGAGCCTCACGACTGTCGTACAGCTCAGCCACGATATCCTCATCCCCTTGGCGCATCGATCCTGAGCCGCCAAAAATCGGCGTCAGCTTGAGCAGATAATAGAGAATCAGTGCCGAGCTCAGTGACAATTGAACCCGCTCGTGGCGATCCCTCCTACGGTCCGAGTGGCTCAGCAGACTGTAGCAGGCCCGATATCGATCGCTCCGGTAAACGCCGTCCTTGGAGAAGCTCTTGGCCAGGTAGTCTGCAAAATTCCGGAATTTCATAGTTTCATTTAGCTTTAAAATATGAAAAAAAATAGTAATTACCTTCGCACTTGGCGATATTCTTTGTTTCTCTCCTCAACTTGATGACACCCCCAAACTCCTTCACAGCCTTGATGGTCAACTTGAGCGCGAATATCATCGTGTCGTTCATCGACATGGCCAACAGGTGAGCCCTGACTTGACACTCGTAGTCGTGGTACTCGAGCCAAGCTCGAGTTTTGCACTCGTCCGAGCAGTAGAGGGCCGAGACACACGAGTCGCAGGCCACACTATGCCACAATCTCGCGAGGCAATGGGAGCAGTGGCTGTAGATCCTCTTGGTGGCCAGACACGAGGCGTAGGGGGGCTCAAGCACCAAAAGCTCACCAGGTCGGATCGTCCTCGTGGCGACGAGATGTCGTCCCCTCGACGCTGCGTCGTATTCGAGATCGATGGCCGTCGAGCAGTTGTCCAGCTGGGGGTGTCTGTCCCCGTCTCCCAAGGCCAGATCCAGACGCTGCAGCTGTCGTTTGTGAGACTCTGGCGTCTCGTAGTCGGGATCTCGGGTCGCCGCGTCGATCCTCTCCTCCAGACGTCGCTTCTTGCGGTCCGTCAGCTGGACCTTCTCCAGCCACAGCCTCGCCTCCTCCGCCACTGCGTCGGCCTCCTCCGGTCTGCCCATCTTCTTCAGCTGTTTGGCCTTTCGGCGCAGCAGATTCGCCCTGAGATGCTCCGGGTAGCCGATCCCCAGAGCCAAATCGATGTCCTTGACGCAGTCCTGGGGTTTGTTCAGCCTCAGCAGTGCCGTCGATCGATTTCCGTAGGCTCGGGCGAGTTCGGGTGACTTGGGCGGGGCTCGGGCGACGCTTCGCTGATACATGTCCAGGGCGGCAAACCACTCCTCGTCTCGGCAACCGGCCCCGAGCATCAGTCGATCGGCCCGACGCCTCAGATTTTCGCTCGTCTCGGCCGACTTGGCCTCACTGTGGACGTGATCCAGTGGGATGCCGCCGAAATTGGCCTGTAGGCTTTTCAGCACTAGTCGCACTCGTTGATCGTAGCCACGGACATCGTCGAGGGCCTCCACCAGATCGTCGAGTTTCAGCAAGGAGCACAGATGCTGAGGTAGGAAGGCCATGATGATTTCTTGTCGATTATTCGCACAAACTCGAACGATATAAGGGTAAATAATTTAACGGACTAAACACTTTTGAGAATGACGGGTTACAAGTGTCGTACAGTAGGCGATGCGACTGCGAATCGACTGCTGCGATGTTAGTCGCGTTCGAAATTTCGCGGCCGACGTCAACGTACATTTTCAAAAATAGCCCGTTGGAACGTCCGTCCAACGATTCAGGTTTCACGCTGACTCGATGCTCATGATTTCCATTATTTGTGTACTTGAGTTTGTGATTTTGTCGTTCTAGCGTAAGCGCGATAATCTTAGAAGCATATAGGAGTGAGGACAAGACGGAGTCTTTGGTGCGTTTTGAGTGTCGAGATTCTGTTGTCTGCTCGTTCGCGTCTGCTGCCGGCGGAGTTTCAAATCATGCAGTTACTGCCTCGGCGCTCGTAGTCATGATATTGTAAGGCCTATTCCCGCCTACGGTGCAGTTGTCTCTGTCGCGCTTACTCATCTTGTTCTTATACGCTCATGCTGTCACCCGTGCCATGTGCGTGTTCATACGATTTGCTCGGCATCAAAGCAACGACACATCGTAGTTAGTAGTTAGCAGTTGGCAGCGATCATTAGTGTATCCGTACTTTGTAGTCAGTTCAGGTTATGTATCAATTTATATGATGTCTAGACTCATAATGCAAAATTTCATTTCGAATTAACAAAATTTCGAATTGCGATGTCGTTCGAATTATCGAAATAAATTAACATTAAATTTTCATCGAAAACGCGAATAACAGAGCTTGAACTCGAATCACCAAAGTTTTACTTGTATACGAAGCCGTGTGAGCTGGGCATGATATAACTTATAACACATAGATTGTCCCCTTCCCCGTGTCCCCCCCTTCCAATCCATGCTTCGTCCACGTGTTCAGTTTCTGCGTCGATCGATGTGCTGTCAGTCCAGGCGAAGGCGTCGCAAAGAGAGCAGTATACTAGAAAGCTAGTATCGACCGAACCGAGTGATTTTTGTGAAAAAAATCCCGTGTTCGCGCGCGGACAAACGAGAGATAGTCATGTCGTCCGACGACGTATCCGAAAAAAGTATCCACGTCGATGGAAAAAAATTGCAAGAACTCGAGAGCCTGCGCGAAACGATCGCTAATTGGCAGTCCCAGAGGCAGCGACGCCAATTCATCCGTCGACTTTGGCCTCTGATCGAGAATTGGAATAGCGGACTACCGGACCTCCGAAACGTCTTTCGAAGGGAAGAAGTGGATCTTCTTCTCCAGGACGCCGTGTACTGCATGGGCGGCAAACAGAGATATCGTCCAGGTGCCGGATTCATCGAGTTCGTGGCTCGCGCGGGCTACAAGGACGAGCCCGAGCTTGACAAAGACAGCGGCGAGCCAGTCAGGAATCGCACCACCGCGATACATCGCGCGTCTCTGCGCAGGTTGCCCAACAAGATCGTCGTGCTCCGCGAGCTCTTCAAAATATACGACAGCTACGATCACACGGACAAGTACGGTCTCACGCACTTCCACGCGGCCTGCAGGCACGGCCTCGTCGACGTGGTCGAGAAATTTCTGGAGCGCGGCCGCAACGCCGATTACCTCGGGCCAGGAACCAGGGATTCGCCGCTGCACTTGGCACTGAGACACGATCACAGGGACATGGTCGCGATGCTGCTGAGGTGGCGCGTGAATCCCAACGTAGTCGGCAATTGCCGAGCGACTCCTCTGCACGTCGTTGCCAAAAGTTGCTTCGACGCGGCGGACTTCGCGAGGGAATTCTTCGAGATCTACGACGGCACGGAGCAGAAGCTGCTGGTCGACATACGCGACGAGTTCGGCCGGACACCGTTGCACTTGGCTCTCCAGCGGAAGAACAGGCGGATGGCCAAATTGCTGCTGCGCAGAGGCGCCGATCCGTCTCTGGCCTCCAAGGCCGGAACCACGCCTCTGCACATCGTCTGCGTGAACAGCTACGACGACGACGGCTTCAGGGACGAATTCTTCGAGATCGTCGAGAACGAGCTCGGACTGGCGCTGCGTTGCGATACGGTGCTGCACGAGGCCCTTTATCGCGGCAGAATCGACTCGTTCGAGTTCCTGCCGAGCAGGGGCGCCTGCCCGAACGCGGCCAACCGCGACGGACGCACCGTTCTGCACGCGTTATGCGACGGGAATCGCGACGAGGTGGAACTGCTGGGTCGATTGTTCGAGCTCAGCCGCTACGGGGTGCGGATAGACGCCAGGGATAGGTTCGGCAATACGGCGCTTCACTTGGCCGCGAGGTCGCATCATCGAGGCTCGCTCGAGCTGCTGCTGGACAGAGGCGCCGATCCCAGTTTGGTCAACGAGGCCGGCTGGACGCTACTGCACCAGGTCTGCTGGTGGCACAGGGACGACGTCGAGCTGCTGAAAACGTTGCTCGAGCTCGAGGTGTTGCCCATCGACGCTCGGACGGCCGTGACCCGTAACACGGCCTTGCACATGGCGCTCGTGCAGTGCGGACGCTCGAACAATCGGAGGGTGCTCGAGTTGCTGCTTAGTTGGGGCGCCGATCCGAACGCCGCCAACGATAAAGGAGAGACCCCGCTGCACTTGATCTGCCGCAGACGACGCGACGACGATCTGGTGAAGTTCTTCTGCGAGATCAGCGAGACGATCGACGATCGGGCGGTGCGACTCGATGTCCGGGATGACACGGGCCGTACGCCGCTCGAAGAGGCCATGGCCAATACTCTGCCGCGCGCCGTCGAGTTTCTGCTGAACGAAGGCGCTCATCTGTCCGGCTTCGTGTTTCGACCGGTTTTCCGTCTGTCGGCTTTGAGCTATCTCGACGGGGACGCGGTGCCGAGATTCGACGAGAAGCGCCACGATTTCAAATTGAGACTGGCCTCCGGGACCATGATGGTCCTCGAGCGTCTCGAGAACGTCGGATACGAGCTGGACCGAAGCGACGCCCTCAAGATCATGGCGTTCTTCTCGAAGCACGGATTGTTGTTGTTGGACGAGTCGGAGGAGGAGGATTGGTACGACGACAAGAGATTCGAGCGCGACGCCAAAAGAATCGTCGTCCAGCCGAGCCTGTCGCTCTACGAGTTGACTCAATTACCGGCCGGAGAGGCGGAGAAACGACTCGACTTCGCGGACTACTTCGAACTGGCGCAATCGAAAAGATTGAACGAGCTCCGCCCGAGGCATGTCGATCCTTGCGCTCGGCATCTGTGCGAGAAACTGTCGAGACGATTTTTCTCGAGCTGGGCACTGGATGCTTTCGTGGAGCTGATACGCTGCAGACTGCCGATTCTTTGCTGCAGGATGATCGTTGAGAATTTGACGAATGAGGATTTGTGGCGTGTCTGCTTGGCGGCTACGGAACAAGATTCGTAATTGCAATGAGAGTTTTTGTCGTCGATTGTTTAAATATGTATAGTATTTTACATATAATTTAAATAAATGAAGTGGAAAAAATGAGCTTTAATATTTCCATTGATAAATACACAATCATTGGAATTAAAAGATGTTAAATTGTATATTCATTACCATGGCAACTCATTGAGACCAAAGTTGTCTATACACAGTATAAAGTACATGGGTGGCGAATTGTGGATTACGCCCATCTCGAATAATACATTATTTTATAATTTATGAAATATTGTATAAGGATCCACTATTGACTTGATATGAAAAGAATTGTTGTGAAGTATATTCGGTCTTAAAAGTTCAAAAAAATTCCTCAAAGCTATCGTCACCAAATGAGAGTTTTGAATTGTTTCAAATGTTAAAAGTATAATGTATGAACAGATAAATCGATAACTTAATAGTAAACAACATGATTATAAACAATTTTGACATCGTTCCTAGACACGCTGATTCTATTTATAGTGGAAATAAATTAGTTTGAATGTTGTCTTTCTCGATGAAGCTACACCATACAGATAGATTATACTCATTAAATTTACAAGGCACTAAATAGAAAGGATCCAACGTTTAATTTAAGCACCAAAATGGATAAAACTAAGAAATCCAAAGTAGTTATTTCGGAAAATAATTTAAGTGAACGCGACATCGTAGTTTCGAATGACAAACAACACATCTGTGATATTTGTCAGGAGGAATTTACCCTAGAATCAAGTATGATAACACACCGAGACACAAATCACAATAATCAGAAAAATTTCGCATGTGACGAGTGCGAAATGAAATTTGAATTCCGAAGTCATTTGAGTAGACACCAAATATCAATACACAAAGGCCACAACGATTTTGCATGTGATCAGTGCAAGAAGAAATTTGTGAAAAAATCGAGTTTATTTACGCATCAAAAATTAGTACACAAGAATCGCAAAAATTTCACATGTAACAAGTGCAACAGAAAATTTGAAAATAAATCAACTTTACTCAAGCACAATAAGGTATTCCACGAAGTTTTCAAAGATTATTTGTGTGAAAAGTGTGCCAAGAGATTTGGAAATAAACATAATTTGCTCTTGCATATAAAAACAGTCCATGAGCGTTGCAAGGATTACGACTTGAAAGTCTTCAAAAATTACTTATGTGACACCTGTGGAAAGAAATTTGCAAGTAAGCAAAGTTTAGTCTTGCACATGACAACAGTCCATGAGGGTCGCAAAGATTACATATGCAGCATTTGTGAAAAGAAATTTGGACGAAAATCAGATTTGCTAACCCACATAAAAACGGTCCATGAAAGTCAGAGAGATCACGCATGCGACAAATGCGAGAAAAAATTTGGACGAAAATCGGATTTGTTGAAGCACCAAAGGGTAGTCCACGAAGGTCGCAAAGATTACATATGCGACAATTGCGAGAAAAAATTTGGACAAAAACTAGATTTGTTTCGGCACCAACAGACAGTACACGAAGGTCGTAAAGATCATGCATGCAATAAGTGCATGAAAACATTTGGACAAAAATCGAATTTACTTTTACACCAAAGAACAGTTCACGAAGGTCGCAAAGATTACCCATGCAACAAGTGCGAGAAGAAATTTGGACACAAAATGCCATTGATTAGACACCAAAAGACAATACACGAGGGTCGCAGAGATTATGCTTGTGATAAGTGCGAGAGAAAATTTGGACAAACGATACATCTTTTGTATCACCAACAGGCGGTCCACGAGGCTCGCAAAGACTACGCATGCGACGAGTGTGAGCTTAAATTCGGAGAAAAATCAAGATTAACCAGACATCAAAAAACAGTCCACGACGGATGCCAAGATTTTGCGTGCGACAAGTGCGAGAAAAAATTCAGTCAAAAAGGAAATTTGCTTGTTCACCTTAAAGCAGTCCATGAAGGTCGGAAAGATTTCTCATGCGACAAGTGCGAAAAGAAATTTACAGAAAAAAAGAGTTTGTTCGTACACGTAAGGACCATTCATGAGGGTCGAAAAGATTACACATGCGACAAGTGCGAGAGGAAATTTGGACAAAAATCGAATTTACTTAGACACCAAGAAAAAGTTCACGAAGATCGTAAAGATTAGACATGGGACAAATTCAAGAAAAAGTTTGGACTTTTGCGAGAGAAAATTTGAATGTAAATCAGATTTTTGGAAGCACCAAATGACAGTTCAAGTTTAAATTGAAACCGAAAATTAGTCTTTAGAATTTTCAGAAAGTACCTATTGGACAGTTCTTGAAGTTTATTAATATTCTCAAGTGATAAATATGCGCATTTGCATCATTTTTACGTCAGATGATAATCCAGTTTTTATTAACAATTAGTTCATTATACAAATTTTTCGAACGCATTGCAGACATATGCTTGAAACACTTCCTTTTTAAATAGCTTGTAACCCATTAGTGAAATAATGAAAAATATTGATTTTTCTGAACAATTAATAAAAAAACTTTTATGGATGTCCGAGTATAAGCATTTTTAAAGTTGAAATAAAAATTGTGTCAATACAGTGTCTTTTTCGAACCTCGGGCTATCGACTATTATTACACCTTCGTTTAAATATGTAGTATTTTACAAATTATTCAAATAAATGACGTTGAAAAAATGAGCTTTAATATTTCTATAAATAAAAATACACAATCATTTTATTTAAATGATCTTAAATCGAGTATTCATTACCATGACACCTAATTGAGACCAAAGTTGTCTATACAGTACATTAGTCGATGGTGAATTGTGGATTACGCCAATCACGATATGGCGTGGAAGCAGCAGTGGATAAGGATGGTAAATTTCAGAATGAATAATAAATTATTTTATAATTTATGACATATTGTATTGAGATCTAGTATTGACATGATATGAAAAGAATTGTTGTGAAGTATATTCGGTTAAAAAATTCCTCAAAGTAATCATCACTAAATTAGGGTTCTAAATTGTTTCAAATGTTGTAAGAATATGGGAGAGCAGGGTGTGTCGGCATATGAGGTAAATTTACAAAATTGTGTATATCTCTTTATCAATGATTTGAACCGAGATGGTGCCATTACATAAAAATAGTACATATTATGGTGCTAGCACTACTGCTACTATTATCTCTATACAATTTAGTGATACAGAGAAATATGCATTTTTGCCAACTTACCTCACATGCCAACACACCCTTCTCTCCCCTAATGTATGAACAGATAAATCGATAACATAATAGGAATAAACAATATGATGATAAACAATTTTAAGCTACTAGTGATATATAATATGTACTATGATATGGTTTAAATTTTATGCTTAACAACTTATCACAAACAGCTGATAGCGTACGATCTAGTGCACCGACTTTTGCTGAAGTAAAATTTTAATTAACGACCACAAGTGATTATCATCAAGGCGAGCCTGTCGCTCACGGAAAAACAAAACGACTACCCTCGCGGAATACCTTGAACTGGCGCAATCGGAAAAATTGAACAAGATCCGCCCAGGGTAATTCGATCCGTGCGCTCGGCATCTGTGCGAGAAACTGTCGAGACGATTTTTTTTCGAGCTGGGCACTGGATGCTTTCGTGGAGTTGATACCCTGCAGACTGCCGCTTCTTTGCTGCAAGATGATCGTTGAGAATTTGACGAATGAGGATTTGTGGCGGGTTTGCTTGGCGGCTACGGAACAAGATTCGTAATTGCAATGAGAGTTTTTGTCGTCGATTTTTTAAATATGTATAGTATTTTACATATATTTTAAATAAATCAAGTGGGAAAAAATGAGCTTTGATATTTCCATTGATAAATACACAATCATTGGAATTAAAAGATGTTAAATTGTACATTCATTACCATGGCAACTCATTGAGACCAAAGTTGTCTATGCACAGTATAAAGTACATGGGTAGCGAATTGTGGATTACGATAATCTCGAATAATACATTTTTTTATAATTTATAACATATTGTATAAGGATCCACTATTGACTTGATATGAAAAGAATTGTTGTGAAGTATATTCGGTTTTAAAAGTTCAAAAAAATTTCTCAAAGCTATCGTCACCAAATTAGAGTTTTAAATTGTTTCAAATGTTAAAAGTATAATGTATGAACAGATAAATCGATAACTTAATAGTAAACAACATGATTATAAACAATTTTGACATCGTTCCTAGACACGCTGATTGTATTTATAGTGAAAATAAATTAGTTTGAATGTTGTCTTTCTCAATGAAGCTACACCATACAGATAGATTATACTCATTAAATTTCCAAGGCCCTAAATAGGAAGGATCCAACGTTTAATTTAAGCACCAAATTGGATAAAACTAAGAAATCCGAAGTAGTTACCTCGGAAAATAATTTAAGTGAACACGACATCGTAGTTTCGAATGACAAACAACACATCTGTGATATTTGTCAGGAGGAATTGACACTAGAATCAAGTATGATAGCACACCAAGACACAATTCACAATGATAAAAAAAATTTCGTATGTGACGAGTGCAAAATGAAATTTGAGTTCCGAAGTCATTTGAGTAGACATCAAATATCAGTACACAAGAGCCACAAAGATTTTGCATGCGACAATTGCGGGAAGAAATTTTTAAAAAAATCGAGTTTGTTTACGCATCAAAAATTAGTACATAAAGATCGCGAAGATTTGACGTGCAGAAAATGCGAGAAGAAATTTGAAAGTAAATCAACTTTACTCAAACACAATAAGATATTTCACGAAGTTTTCAAAGATTATTTGTGTGAAAAGTGTGCGAAGAGATTCGGAAATAAACAGAGCTTGCTCCTGCACATTAAGACAGTCCATGAGCATTGCAAGGATTACGACTTGAAAGTCTTCAAAAGTTACGCATGCGATAAGTGCGAAAAAAAATTTGGACGAAAAATGCCACTGATTAGGCACCAAAAGACAATACACGAGGGTCGAAAAGATTGCGTATGCGATAAGTGTGAACAGAAATTTACACAAAAACAGAGTCTGCTCTCCCACCAAAAGATAGTACACGGTGGTTGCATGATAGATTACTCATGTGACAAATGCGAGAAGAAATTTGGACGAAAATGGATTTTGGTTCAGCATCAAGAGACAGTCCACGAAGGTCAGAAAAATTACGAATGCGACAGTTGCGAGAAGAAATTTGGACGAAAATCGGATTTACTTTTACACCAAAAGATAGTCCATGAAGGTCGAAAAGATTACGCATGTGACAAATGTGAGAAGAAATTTGGAAAAAAATCGGATTTATTAAAGCACCAAAGGACGGTCCACGAAGGTCGTAAAGATTTTGCATGCAACATTTGCGAGAAGAAATTTGGCCGTAAATATCGTTTGCTCATCCATCAGAAGACAGTACACGAAGCTCGCAAAGATTACGTATGCGACGAGTGTAAGCATAAATTCGGAGAAAAATCAAAATTAACCACACATCAAAAAACAGTCCACGACGGATGCAAAGATTTCGTGTGCGACAAGTGCGAGAAAAAATTTAGTGATAAAGGAAATTTGCTTGTTCATCTTAAAACAGTCCACGAAGGTCGGAAAGATTTCTCATGCGGCAAGTGCGAAGGGAAATTTGGACGAAATTGGACTTTACTTAAACACCAAGAAACAGTTCACGAAGCTCGCAAAGATTTTGCATGCGACAAGTGCGAGAAAAAATTTGGGGAGCAAAGCAATTTGATGAGACACCAAAAAATAGTCCATGAAGGTCGAAAAGATTTCGCATGTGACCATTGCGAAAAGAAATTTGGACAAAGATCGCATTTGCTCAGACACCAAGAAACAGTTCACGAAGATCGTAAAGATTAGACATGGGAAAAATTCAAGAAAAAATTTAGATAAATATGGAATTTAATAAGAGCGAAAAGAAATGGGCGATTCAAGGCCAATTGAATCGACATCAATAAACGATGCTCCTCATCTGAAAAGACTACGAATGTGACCTTTGCGATAGAAAATTTGGATGAAAATCAGATTTTTCGAAGCACCAAATGACAGTCCAAGTTTAAATTGACACCGAAAATCAGTCTTTAGAAATTTCAGAAACTACCTACTGGACAGTTTTTGAAGTTTATTAAGATTCTTAAGCGATAAATATGCGCATTTGCATCATTTTTACGTCAGATGATAATCCAGTTTTTGCCAATAATTTGTTCATTATACAAATTTTTCGAACGCATTGCAGTCATATGCTTGAAACACTTCCTTTTTTAATAGCTTGTAAACCATCAGTGAAATAATGAAAAATATCGATTTTTTTGAACAATTATAAATTTATAAAGAAACTTTTATGGATGTTCGAGTATGAGTTTTTCAAAATTGGAGAAAAAATGTTGTCAATATGATTGTACCTTTTTTTTAACCTTCGGCTATCGACTATTATTGCACCTCCGTTCAGTGTTGCCGTACTTTATTTTTTAAGCCTTATAGGTCATATCATCAAACTGGCATAAAAGGTATCTTAAATCAATTCATTGATCATGGGCAAAGGGTCGATCAGGGAGTGCGCCAATATATTGGCTTTCCAGCCCTCTATAGGTTAACCAGACGACTGCTAATTGCTACTGTTCGGGCACTTTTTTGGTCATGCAACTATTACCTGATTTTTTCTCCGCCCTTAAGCTCCGCCCGAGGCATCTCGATCCGTGCACTTGGCATCTGTGCGGGAAACTTTCGAGACGATTTTTCTCGAGCTGGGCGCTGGATGCTTTCATGGAGCTGATACGCTGCAGACTGCCGATTCTTTGCTGCAAGATGATCGTT